TTTCACTGACGAATAATGAGAAACATCTGACAACTGAGAGACAATTGTGCAATTTTGCCATGTTCACGATATCTTGATTTGATCTTCAATTACTTCAATTATTTATCACAAAACGCAAAACCTTCCCGCTTTGTCCCGAATTATAGACTGCCTGAGCTTTCTTGTTTACATAATCACCGTTATGTTAGCCAAAACTGGGTGAAAAAATTCTAGTTGTGACAATTTATCGTTCCTTACTCAAATTAGTTGGTTGTGTGTTTAAGTGAGTAGTCTGACATCTGTGATATGATATTAAAAGAATTGAGTTATTATCCTTATCATCCAAAATATGGTTCAAGAATTTTTCCAATCCATACATGTACGTTTCCATGCTCACAACCAACAACATACTTACACCTATTAATTCGTAGTTTCATCAGTATAGTCATAAGTCAAAATGAACTCATTAATCATGAACGAAAAATGTTTGGTCATAGTTTTTCACTTTTCGGAGCAGAAACTCCGTATTTCATTGATAACACATATATCAAAGCCTAACAAAAAATGTTTGTATTTTAAAAATTTTTACCAAAATCTTATGCATGTTTGTATGCTGAAACCGTATTTCATAGCAGTTTTCTCATCTCTCACCATTCTTTCTAAATATTATATCGATTTATTACTTGAAAAAAATAGGGAAAATTTGATATATACAAATTAAGCAAATCATAGTTTTATAAATCAGTTAGATTTTCGCTTAAAATCACATTCAGCTACTTATATTATAATATGAAATGCTTAAATTATGACATTTTTATATATTTCTTCTCCCTATTCGCCGTGAAATTTATTGTGTAGCTTTTTCGTCTATGAAATGCGTTTTGTTCTTCTCTGTGAAGTGACCAACAGTAATCACTCATCATTTTGATATTTCACTGTCCCTGGTATCGATTCTCCATCTCTTTTATGTCCTGATGAAACCGTTCCTCTTGCTCTTTTTCACATCACCAAGTTTTTAGGAAAAAAGTCAAGATGATTGTGTAAAAGCTTGACTCTGAGGCTAATCAGGCAACCAAAAGTTCGGGTCTTTGGCATTACCCGAAAACTTAATCACAACTTCTGTAAACGATATCCAAGCCTCCTGTTCCTTCTCATTCATTGTTGCTTCGACGTTTGAATCAAACATCAATTTGCGGATATCAGGCACGACGAAAATTCCTTCTTTCAACTTAGCTTCTGATAAACGAAGAATTTCCGCACATAAATATTCAAAACAATCACCATCTTTAACAAATTGTTTCATTGAACCCAACTTTATGTGCAGTGGAGGTAAAAGAGTCTTCTTGGGTTCGATTAAAGTTTCGTGTCAAATGTTTTTTATGCCAGGTCTGAAAGTTTTCCTCGAGGACCATTGTTTTTGAGACCAATATTGATCCCTTGCTCTGTCGCCCCATTCACATGTGAACTTTGTAAATCCCTTTTGTCAACCAAAGATCATGAAGACAACTTTTAAATCCCCACACAGCATCCAATCATGAGCAGTATAGTTAATTTTCTCTAAAGTAATATCAGCATTTTTGTAAGTTTCCTTCATATGATTTGAATGTGTCACATGCACTGAAGGATATAAGTATTTCCATCTTGCCGAAAAAGATGAGCGAATTGCTCATCTCTTGTTCTATAACAGCAAATAGATATTTCAGGTTTCAATAAATGTTTCTCTTTCAGTCTGAAACCCAGTAATTCTGCTTTTTCCTTAGTCAAATTCAAATCTCTCACTGAAAAATTCAACTCGTCATCAGTCGAATGATTAACTACACACATCGGAAAAGTCTAGGGATATTTTTTAAAATGGCAATAATTTTTTTTTTAGATCGCTTTAGGGAAAAAAAAGTTGACGGGTGATTATTAAACGAATGTAACTTACAACAAAATTTATTAAATGGTCAAAAATACTGAGTGCGCATATAAGCAAAACTAAAAAAAATATGGCTCTTCTTTGGCACCCCGAAAAAAAATCATAATACAAAAAAAATTGGAATCAGTACAAAGTATGGCCTCCATACTGGTTTATTACGGCCCTACATCTATCGTGCATCGACAAAATGAGATTGTCAATGTCTTGTTGAGGTACATTTGCCCATTCAGCGATTAAAAGCTCTCTCAATTGAAACGTTGTGTGAATGTTCCCCATATGCGGAGTAATTCATCTTTGAAGCATGTCCCACACATGCTCGATGGGATTCAGATCCGGTGATTGTGTTGGCCATGACAATACATCAACTCCTTCGTTGGTGAGCCAGTCAGTCACTAGACGCGCGACATGTGGACGAGCATTATCGTGCATTAGGTGGAAGTTTTCACCAATAGCACCAGCAAACGGACGGACGATAGGTAGAAGAATGGTGTCGAGGTACTGTCGAGCTGTGAGGGAGCGATTTGGAAAAACGAGATCGGTTCTGCCGCCGATCATGATTCCGCCCCATAGCATTACTGTACCACCTCTGTATGTGTGGACGTGCCTCAAACGTTCATTATTTCCAGGTCGTCTCCACAGTCTTACTCGACGAGAATCTGGATGAAATCCAAATCTGGATTCGTCTGTAAACAAAACTGTGGCCCAATCATTTGTATCCCAGTTTTGATGTTCCTGACACCACTCTAATCTTCTACCGCGATTGCCTCTCGACAAAGTTGGACATCTAAGTGGCCTTCTGTTGTGGAGATCTGCTTCATGCAGTCGATTTCTGACAGTATCACGACCTGTGGTTACCTGGTGCGTCTGCTGCAACACGTTAACCAACTCAGGTGCTGTGATTGTCGGTTGTCTTCTTGCGGTTAAGACCTAAAATCGGTCTTGAACTGCAGTTGTAGCGCGTCCTCGCCCTGGATGTAGTTCGGCTGGACTGCCAGTTTCACGGAAACGCCGCCACAATCGACTGATAACACTTTGGGAGACCCCGAAACGAGGAGCTACATCATTTTGTCGCATGCCACCTCGAAGAAGCCCTACAGCCCTATTCATCTCAGCCAATGGTAAGTGATGGCGTTCCATGTTAAAGCACAATATTTCCAGTTTAATTGCTGAGCAAGAACTGCATAGAATGTACAAACTCGACACTTTCAGATTATCCAATTCAGCCGAAAACCTACAGTTTGTAAAAACTTGATAAAAGATTAGTTACTTTTTTTGCAGGCTTTGTTCAACCCATAGAAATCTACAGGGTGGTCGAGTGTCCAATTTAATCGAAACTAAACGACCTCATGCATTTATTTTTATGATATTTAGTATGTTATAAAAATATCCCTAGACTTTTCCGATGTGTGTATATTCGGTACTGTACTGTAAAATATCACCAATAATCTCAGGTGGCACATGAACAGCTCGGTCCATGTTCTATCGGCCGATCAAGAGATGTAACGTTAAAATATACTGCAAAAATAACAATCATCTAAATTTCATAAACTACACCTTACGATTTGATCTCCTCAAACTTTACGCTAACACAGTAGCTTTTAGCACTAGCAACAGTTATTCTAATTCTACAAGTTCCTTCTGACGTTAATATTTATATACCACAGGTAACTACAATTGAGACTACCTCCATCAAATTACCTAAACTTCTACAACTTTTATATACCTGAGATACCTCTTCAAATATGATCATCTGAAGCATATTACCTCACTTCTACATCAATGATAATACTTCCTCGTTTTTTTTAAGAAAACGAGTTCAATAATGGTGATCTATTCAAATCTAGTTGGTCATTCATTAGAATGTTTGAATTTTTAACTTTATTCATTTCCATTGTTTTCAAATGATTCAGTTTCAAACTTTCATTTTCTATGTATGAAATTTCAGTTTCTTCGTTAATGATATGATTTTCTTCTAAAAGACGATTTGAATATGTTGAACTTGTTTTCTTATTTACATAACTCATATGATGTTCCTGGATTCGATTCCTAAATGTTCTGCCAGTTTGACCAATATATACCTTAGGACATGTTCCACAAATCAATTTATATACTCCTGATTCGTGCTATAGCATGATTCATAGATTAGTCAATGTTTCTCTTCCAATATATAATCTCAATAAAAAACTTTATATCATTAAACAAATTGCAGTAAAAAAATGGGATTAGAGCTGAATTAATAAACAAAATACTTTCCAAAAAAGTCTGCTCAAGAGCGATTCGAGACGTTTTTCTTATTGATAAGTTAGATAATCAAAATCAAAATTATAGACCTTCAACGTGTTTTGAATAAACAACAGAAAAAGTGGCTTCATTTTTGAGTAAAAGAGATATTAAAATTGCATACAAAACAACTAATACGTTGGGAAAGTTAGTTAAAAATAATAAAGACAAAACATCCCAATTCCAGAAATCAGGAGTATATAAATTAAAGTGTGGAACGTGCCCTAAGGTATATATTGGTCAAACTGGCAGAACATTTAGGAATCGAATCCAGAAACATCATATGAGTTATGTAGATAAGAAAACAAGTTCAACATATTCAAATCGTCTTTTAGAAGAAAATCATATCATTAACGAAGAAACCGAAATTTCATACATAGAAAATGAAAGTTTGAAAGTGAATCATTTGAAAACTATGAAAATAAATAAACTTTCCAATGAATGACAAACTGGATTGAATAGATTAATATGTTGAATTGAACTTGTTTTTTCAAAAAAAAACAAGTCTACAAAATTTGTTATAATTATAAACCTTAGAGAACATTTTATTTCATTGCCGACCCCATTACATTAAAATAATATTGCCAACTTCAAAATATTTAAGTAGTTAAAAATGTTACTTATATATTTTTGTGCATAAACTTCATTTTTACTTAATAGTGAAATATGAAAATTGGTGGATGATACAACCTTTTTTAATTTTTCGCAATCAGGACACCAAATTGCACAGGAATTAGTTTAAATTATCGGTTATTGGCCTATGAATCATTCGATGCGACAGGTGTAATCGATGTTTTAACCAACCACCACCATGTATTTATAGGTCCCGAAGAGCTGGGTTTCCATATTGGTTCTTATATCAGTTAAAGAAAACGAAGAGTCCAAGATAGAGTCGATTTGTGTGGTCACTTATGAAATTATTGATTACGACATCGCTATAAACACAGGCCAAACAACCGCACCTATTTTATGTCCATTGAAATTAATTCACGTTGGAGTTCCTATAGAAATGTTCTTCACCATCGAAAATCGCAGCCCTATAACAGGTTTATCAAATATCGTTTCCGTAACAAAACATATTATATTTACATTTTCAGGTTGTTTTTACTTCCTAAAACCTACCGGGAGAGATTGCGATAAAGTATCCATCAAATTAACACCAAATTCCTCTGTACTGAAATCGTTCGAGAAAATGGACATATCTGCCACGTTGACTTGCTCAGAAATAGGCATTTTTGAAAATGTATTCGTTCCCTGTTTCGTGGGAAAAGGCCAGAAACCCATCATGCTCAGAGTCCTGTGTGCAGTGGATGGCATACACGTTTCTTTCTATTTGCCCAACTATGAAAATGGTTACAGAAAACTGATCTGGCCTCCAAAAGTTGTTTATGAGTACGATAACGAGGACTGGGGTATTTGCCCATGTGAACAGGTGAGGAAATTTCATTTAATTTTAGTTTTTTCATTATAATTGTTGATTAAGCATCAGTATATTCAACAGGAACAATATTTACGTAAATATGAGCCATAAACGTTTGTTTGAGGATGTTTCACAATGTTTCGTAGTGCATTTTATTGGTTCAGACTTTCGAAAAATAGCAATTATATTGAGCAAAAAAACTGTAATTGCAATGAAATAAAATACAAGCAACAATCAAAAATTCAAAAAATTCAACTAATAACACGAGATAAACATAAAAAATTATTACCAAGAAATTAAAATTAAAAGATTCCAAGCCAAGTTACTTCACGATGTTTCGATGGTTAGTATCCACAATCGTCTTCGGGTGATCTCCGAGATCTGACTATTTATAGGTCATTGGTGTGCTTTCACCTATCCTCTCTTCCCGATTCATCCGTTTCAGTGAGAGCGGTAGTTTGTCGTGTTCCGCTTGATTATAGGTTTCCATATATTGCGTATCTTTACGCTAGTTTGACTAAATGCGTTGTTAGACAACATATATGCAGCTTCTCTGAATTTTCTCCTGAACTATTGTTCCTCCTTGTGGATCATTTCAGCCTGAGACTACTTGATGGTTATGTTGATGAGTCCAAACATGCTCCACTGTTACTGATTTGTTGGTTTCTTCTCGGTGTGTGTATTTCTTCTGCTCGGAAATGCGAACTTTTAATGGTCTCTTAGTTTCACCGATGTATGATTCTCCACACTCGCAGGGTATCCGGTAAATGCATTTCTTGGAATTGCTGTCCGCTTTTGGTGGCCTGGTTTTCGTGAGGCTGCTACGGATAGTTTTCCCAAATTGGGTCCAAGTATATCATCATTACCTGCTTCAGATCTGGGAACATTATCCGTAGCAGCCTCACGAGAACCAGGCCACCAAACACGGACTNCTGCATTCACTGTCGATTTTTCGCTTCTTTTCCATACTAACAAATCACACATAAAAACAATAAGTCAAATCAAAATACTTTTATTGACGGGTGTTACTTTATTTCACAATAGACAGTTTCGCGTCCTTCGCCTTTCCTACACAGACTAACTCGCAGTTGCGCCGATAGCTTTTTACATGCAAATATTACTGCCATCTCGAGATGATCGGAATACACTAGCTAGAACCAGAACTTTCTCGAACCAACGCGGTAATTCCAAATATTTAATTACGCCTAATGCCACCTAGCGGGTAGCTGAAAAAGAAAATACATAGTACCACTACTCGCCACTAGATGTCGTTAAGTGTCACAATACACAATAATAATCGAAATGCAAAAAAACGTAAGTTTGCTTAGGTTACGCACTTTGCGACTATCCTAGTCTAGAAATATATTTAAGGACAGAAATTGGCCCTTGGAACAAACTGAAAGAATCTTTATGGCCCGAAGGCTTCAAAGTTTGGAGACCCTGCCTCAGACTCACCTAAACCACTTTTCAGACAAAAATGCATTCTGAACCGATAGATTTTCGAGAAAATGAATAAGTTGAATTCATATACCTATATTAGAGAAGGAAAGATTGGATCCTTCCAGAGGAGGAAATACTAAGAGTAGATAGCTGTAGGTTTACAGATAATTCAAAATCATCTTCAGATTCTGGTGCAATAGGGAACTTGCAGATTTTTTTTACATCGTAAATGTGTTCTGCTATGATAACTATTAACTACTGCAAAATATGAGCAGTGAAATATCAATAGACAGTTTATAAAAAATATCAAAAGTTTCTTGCGTTGAAAAACCAATTCAAACAAGCGTTCAAAGGCGTGAACTATTATGACGTCATACTGTATCAATCCGGGCGCAGGCTGTGACTGCCGTTCAAATCTACTTATTTGAGCAGCTGTAGAGGAACGCTTTCGTGTAAAATGCAATGAGGTCCTGTTATTAAAATAGATTGGTATTATTGAGTTGTATAGTTTGTGTTTAACCTTGATTAGGCTTCTTTGTGTGTTAATGAATTTATTTATCTAGCAAAGGCAATGGAACACAAACAATATTGAAAATATTTCATTGTTCCTTTGTGCACAAATACCAAATACCCAATAAAATATTCATAAGGGTACCTGAAGATGATCGTAATCGTCGAACAAAATAGGTAAATGCATGCAGAAGGAATGAAAATAATAGAGAGAGAAGAGCAAAGCTCTTCATGTATGTGGAGACCATTTTAACGTAAGTATTCACATATTATCTATCTGATTTGTGGAAAATTAGAAACTTAATTAAATATTATAATAATTATCAATTGTAAAGCTAATTAAAGACTAACCAAAGTGACACAATTTACCCCAAATTATTGATACAAATTTCATTATGTTAGTTTCTATTATCAAATAATTATCTCATTTCATGATAATATGTAATGTATATCCCTTAATTACTCGCGCTGGTGTATTTTGTACACCAGCGCCAAATTTCTTGCTACCATCGAACGTAGAATTTTTTTTGTGGCTCTAGACTCCCATCTAACCTATGTCTAACATGTCTGGGATGTGATCGATCAGTTATACGCCGAACGCCCGACTGAGCTGTGTGTTTATACGTAAATTTTGACGCGTTGTCACGTTGGTGCCTAGAATACACCGCGCGGGAAATAGGATAAATTATGTAAGTATTCAATATTGTTTACAAACACGTTAGTTTTATTGTGCGATGGTGTTAT